GCTGTAGTGAAGAGCTCTGGAATTTCGAGCTCTGGAAACCACCTGGTGTTCTGTACATGCACCCAAATCTGAGCACACGGGCCTACAGCCTTTTCGCCTTCATCAAAAATGCCGCTGCATCAGCTGGGATTCGATACCGCGACTTGCAGGTCAGCAGCCCATACCTCAGCCACTATACCACCGTGGCGGACCGGCGCACACTGGAGTTGAGGGGAACGAACGGCCATGCCAGGCAGAGTCGCAGACCGCATCACCCAGGAGGATACTTCCAACGTGTGGCACACCACGAGAAATCCTCGATTTTCAGAAACTACGTAGGCACACTAAAGCTCCCCCTCATACTAGAACAGAAGACAAGCATGGGACTGGCGTCGGCTGGACACGGGTTATACAGAATGTACGCTTGCAGATACAGCGACACTCTGTGGCGCAAAGCCACACGGACATTGCAGCACATTATATATCAGCGCACGCAACGTCCGTAGGCTAGCCTTTCACCTCTGTTGAATAACACTTCTTTGAATTGGTCGTGGGAGACGCGGCTCGCGGGACTGGAAATGGGAGGCCAACTGGCGACCCTCGACTAGGCCCGGAGAGCCACTAGGGCCTTTTGAAGAGGGGCGCCACCCACCATAACCATACAAAGCTAGCCCTGATATGCATAAATGTTTCTCTCTACTTTCTTACACTAGCTGTCACAAACGAGCGCTCAAGAAAGCGCACGCCTTCGAATTCTAGCGACGGCGACAATACCAGGCGCCAGACATTCGTGCCAAAGCTAGCGTAAAAGAAGAAAACAAGCATCAGGGGACTCCTCGGGCACACTGCCCCTTGCTCTCGAAAAGCGTCACTGCCACCAGCCAACCAACCTCCTCCCATCCATCGCTGAGTAACCTCTAGAATCATTTAAAAATGCAAAACATGAGTTGCGTCACGTGTCGTGAACGGTTTTCGAAACATCTCGCCCTTTCCCCAGCCTTAGCTGTGAAGCATGCCGACGAAACGATTAAAAACGTCTAGAACCTAGCGCCAGCGGCATAGAGTGGTGATCAGGAGAAGATGGAAGAGTTTGCGCCAGTGTGCGTACAGTTGTTCAGCCGTTGGGCAAAGGCTTTTGTCCTCACTGACAAAGCAGGCGATGAAGAGGGGGTTTCACCCGTGGGTGAAGGCTTGTGCTACAAGCAGAAGAAAAGTATGTGATTACCGCCAGTGGGCGAAAACGCGTTCTGCAGCCCGAGCGCGTGGGAAGCTGACGTGTTGCCGGCGAAGAAGTTTCTTGCTTGGAGTGCGGACCTTTCACGGTGCGGGTTTTCCTGGAAGAGAAATTTTGGGAGCAGTGGAGTGACAACTGCGCAGGACTTTGAATGAATGTTTCCTAGAAAAAAAAAAAATTCAAGCTTCATTTCAAGAACTTTGGACTGATTAGGTCTAACGAACTTTTTAGTCTTTAAGTGTCTTGGTTGGTTTAGTGCATGAAATTGCATTGTAGCGCGTGCTATTGTTTGTGTTCGTTGCTTTGGGTGTATCTGATAGTATTTTGTAGCTCGTTGGTTAATTGTTGGCATGTTGTATTGGATTATTGTCGAGTGTGCATATTAGTGTGTAGTTTGATCTGCGGTATTTGAGAATATATTTTTGTTTTGTTTATTAACTTTCGACACTGACTCGTTTTTTAGACCACAGCCGGCTTCCGCTGGCGCGCCAAATAGGACCACATCTAAATTGTCTGTGCTTTCATTGTGCAGTTCGAGAAACCGACACTTCAGCTCTTGGGCTGAAGTATCGCCCGGCGATTGCCTCTGTAATTAACAGGACCAGTTACACTAGCGTTTCGTAGAGTTCCGTGTGATCAAATTCAAAAGACACAACTGTCAGCCTTATTTCATATAACATTACAATTTGTTGCTATCGCATTCATTGCTTTGCCCTTATGCTGAAACTGTGACATATACAGCTATCTACAGCTGCCCTTTTTTTTTTAACCTGAACACGTGAGCGTCAATCATTGAGTCGATGAGTGCCGAGCACAGCGGCAAAACGAACAAGAATACACGAATGTGCTCGATGAGCAGTCCTGTGCAGCTATCCTTACTAGGCTGTTCTGAGAACCGCACGCCACCTCCACTTCTTTTGAGCACCATTGCCATCATCCTTTTTTTCTTTCGTTATCACTGTCATCAAGTTACATATTTAAAAAAAAAAGTTTCACTGCAAGGGCAAAGCAATGAATGCAATAGCAAGAAATTGTGATGGTACAGATGTGAGGCTGCCAGCTAACTCTCTTGGGTAAAATATCGCTTAACTCTGCAAAACGCTTGTGTAAGAGAAGGCAGCCGCGCCAGGAAAAGATGCTCTTTTTCACAGTCTTTTGGCGTTAAGAGCGCAGCTTGCACAAAGGTTTACGAAACATTTGCACTGATGCCTGCCGGGATAGCACGCATGCCAGCGATCACTGCCAAGCCCTTTCAATCAAAGTTCACAGCTGCTCGAGAGATCACAGCCTTAATAAAACCGAAACTATAATCGTTTTGATGATGCCGAAAACATGATGTTTCAGCCACGTTTTCAGGCACGGGGCTTGACGGCTCTCGCATTTTACGGCTAGACTTGGGTGCTGTGGTGCAGTAAGGCACTGATGAACAAGTTTGCCGCAGCAGGGGTGGTTCGGCGCAGGATGGCACAGGTGAACAAATTTGGCACACAATGGCGCAAATGGCACAGGTGTCCTACCTCTGCATTTAAAATGCCAGTTATTTTGGCATACTGTAATTACTCGAACCTAACGCGCACCTTTTTTTCGGTTCAGCGAGCTCATAAATCGCATGCGCGTTAGAATCGAGTACGAAAAAAAAAATGAATACGGTCATTCTCTTGCCATCTACAATTCGAAAATGGCCACCCCTTATGTGCGTCGGCATGGCGCGTCGGTCATTTCTGCCAATTTGTTTTCCATGTGCGGCACTTTGTACATGTGCTGAGGAGTTCGTCATCTCGTAGTGTATTAACATAGACGGCATGGAAGGGCCGACTCCGAAAACTCGACGAGTGCACCACGATGCCGCTTTTAAAAGAAAAGTCATCGCATGTGCAGAAACGGATGGAAATCGGGCGCATCGCAGTCGTTCGGAGTTCCTGAATTGTGCGTGCGGGACTGGCGGAAACAGAAGCAGAAGATTGTCGACTGCAAAGCTTCACGTAAAGGCTTAAGTGGACCGGAGCAGGGTCGGTTTCCGCAAATCGAAGAGCTGCTCGCCGAGTATGTGCTTGAACAGCGAGCGGCACAGCGGCCTGTGACAACAGAACTGCTCCAAGTGCGGTATATGCAGTTAGCCTTGGAAAAAGGGCTAACGCGGAGCCAGTTCAAACCGAGCAGGTGCTGGCTAACTAACTTTATGAAAAGGACAGGATTTTCCCTCTGAAGGCGAACGGGCATATGCCAAAAGTTGCCAGATGAGTACGAAAAAAAACTTCACAGTTTTCAGAGGTTCTTCCTCAATTTGCGGCACAACAACGGCTACCTGCTTGGGAAAATCGGGAATGCTGATCAGACGCCTCATTACTTCCACATGCCTGGCACCACAACCGTCGAAAAGAAAGGGGCGAAACAAGTTCGCGTGCTGACATTAGTCCACGAAAAAACTAGAGTGACGGCAATGCTCTGTTGCACATCATGGGCACAAGCTTCCCCCGTACCTGATATTTAAGCGGAAAACGCTCCCGAAAGAAGTCGTTTTCCCAAGTGGTGTGATCATGCGAGCCAACGAGAAAGGTTGGATGACGACGGACCTGGTCGCCGATTAGATCCATCACGTCTGGCGGAAGCGGCCTGCCGCCAGTTTGGGCCTGCGAGCGATGCTCGTGCTCAACGCGTTCAGGTGCCATCTCGACCAACGAATCAAGGACAAGCTCGCTGCGTGCAATACGGACCTTATCGTCATACCTGGCGGCATGGCGTCACAACTTCAACCGCTGGATGTCTTCCTGAACAAGCCGGTGAAGGACAAGATTCGGGCGATTTACACTGACTGGCTGATCAATGGACGACATGATTTCACGCCAGGCAACAGGATGAAGCACGCCTCTCTGCAAGACTTCGCTGCGTGGATGAAGGACGCGTGGTGTGCAATACCATTAGCCATGGTGATCAAAGCATTCAAGAAATGTGGCATCACGAATGCCATGGACGGTACCGAGGATGAGATGCTTGGGCTGTTGACAGCGATAAGGAGTTGTCCGACAGCGACGAGGACTGACCTATTTCGCGACTCGTAACGCCACCGTAGTGGTCACAGTTTTATCTACAGGGCCGGCTGTTTGACTTTGTGTTTTATCTTTCGAAACTTCAGTGCATCAAAACCCAAATACTTGTTCTCAATGTGCAAAAGTTGACTCCTACGGACTTTTTTTTCTCTTCCGTCGTGGAAAATGGGTGTGCCTTACAATCGATGTCTTACTTTTTTTTTTTCATCGCGGAAACCGGGTGCGCGTTACAATCGAGGGCACGGTAGAATCGAGTAGATACGGTAAATTAGGTCAAAGCTGATAAAGTGGTAAATGTAATCAGTCACACATCAAGGTCATCAAAGCAAAGATGAGTGGTCAGTATAGTATCGAACTAATCTCTAGTACATTTCGCCAATAGAGTCTGTTTGTAAAGTAGAAATATACAGCTAAATTTGCAATAAATAGGGCCAGTACTTGTGGCATTATCATTGCTAGTATGCAGCTACGTGGTACACAGCTAGTCAGCAAGCTATGATGATAGTATACACAGCTTGTTTTTCATGATAGTTACACAGCTTGCTGACTGGTCAGACGGTTGAACTTAATTGTTCCCAGTTTCTCAATACCATTTAAAAGCAGGTTTGGAGTAATTACTGACATATAGTGACCCTTTGAAGCAGCATGGAGCAGCACTCCTCTTACGGAGCAGTTTTAAAGAATTGGAGCAGCACATAGACCACTATAAGTCAGCAACTGTACAGAAAAATATGGCTCACCTGTCGGTAATCAGCAATGAAGCGCATCACTTTGTCACTCAAGTAGAACAGGTACACACCCACGAACACTATGAGAGATTTCCACAGGTAGTCATGCTCTCGATCCTGACCGAGTAGGTTAAATGCCTGCAATGTGACCATCCATTGGAATATTAAAGAGAACAATTCTATTGGAATATTAAAGAGAACAATGATGCCAAGTAAAGCATAGGGGATGTTAATACTATAGTAACTGTAATGTAAATGCGAAGAAGGTGGACAAAGGATAACTGCCATTGGCAGGGACTGGCCTTGGAATGACACCATGTCCCATGCTCTACCAACTGAGAGCTACAGTGGCAGGCATCCTCACATCTACTTTATTGGGTACAGCATACAGCAGACTCTCATTATATGGAACCTGAAGAAACCAGGAAAATATGTTCCATATAACAGGAGTTTCCTTTACTGAGAGATAAACAGGGGTGCACATTACAAATACAAAGCCAATCTTGTCAGAAGCACTGGTTTCGTTTTAGCAGCAGTTCAGTTAAACAGATTTCCATTTACCAAGAGTCAGTCGGCGCCACTAGTACCATGGCATCAAGTGTGGAACACTATTTTTCTGCTTGCTGGCATCACGTAGCAAGTGAACTTATTACGAGCTGGCAGTTAACCAATAATCCACTGCCTACTACCTGAAGGCTTCAAGTCCACCAGCACGAGACGATCGTTAGAAATGAAGAAAAAGAAATGAAAAATGAGCCCTTCAATTTGCACTTCTTTTCTTTAACCACAGGAAAGCATGGCCAAAATGTAAGAACAATAAGGTAGTCACCATATAACTCAAGGAAGTGTGCAAACAGCACTTATGAAATGTCCCATTTCTCCAGTCCCTTCAGTGCATCTGCTTTCCATCATCTGTCCTACACAGCATCCCCTGTCCCTGAAAATACTGGCTGCTACACTTCACCTCACAACCAGTCATCCTGTTCACCCACATTGCCAAAAAACTTTACTGCACGGCTTCCATTATTGGGTAGCGCACGAATGGACAAGACACATAAAAAGAAGGCTAGACAAGAGCTGGTCTAACAACTGAAAAATTTTATTTGAAGAAATCATATACAGTTAAACTTCATTCACTCAAGTTCCCTTATTTCGAAATCCCACTAAGTTGGATATATTTCCACAGTCCCGCATTTTTCAATGCAAGTCTGCATGGATATTTAGAAGTGGCAGTCGGCACCAATCCAGCTAATCTGAAAACTTTGAGTGCCATGTGCCAAATCCCAATCCCAATTTAGCCGCAAACTTGCAGGAGCGATGGCCATTAAGAGCCACCAAGCAATGCAATGTAGCAATACTAATGAGTGGAAGCTTAAACACCCCAGCCTGACTACTTCCAGCATAAAAAAGAAAAGAAAAAGAAATCACCTGCGGAAAACAAGACAGACTTCACTGCACTGCAGCGGTGAAGCGCAGGCAGCATATTGCACGTCTCCACAACATTAGCGCGTCATGATTTACTCATTCTCTCGATGATTGAAAAGAAAATAATAAAGGCAGTTTGGTGTAATTCACAATGTATGCAAATCTCCGACTGCCAGTTGCTCTAGCAATTTGCACACTTGCACTGTCAGCGGAGTTGTTCCTTGCAACGCCTACTTCGAAAGCTTGAACAATCATGTTTTCCAACCAATAAACGTCGTGAATTTTGCCACACTGGCCAATATTAAATGCTTTACCTTACCAGTTTCTCCATGTTTGCGACAAAATTAAGACCAGGTATTGCTGGAAACATGACCCTTGGAACCACAAACTAGCCGACGCAGCAAACGACCAGCCCTGATTACTTTGAATAACTCCAAGTTCCTTGCATCCCACTTTTTGTATGTTCTGTTCATTCGAAAACCCGCTTAATTAGAAGATTTCTTGCGGCCCCAGTGACATCACTGAATATATATCCCAGTGAAGTTTTGCTCTATATTTACTATATATCGGGTGCCTAACTATCTATAGCCAAGGGTTAAAACATATACAGTGTTAGGGGCAGGCAAATGAAACTTGTTTCACATTGCTGACTAGCACACTACAGACAATTTTCAGTTTTGTAATTAATTCGTTAATAGGAAAACTTGACTAACTTGCTGAATATTTACAGGACTTAACTAACTTGCTGATTATTGACTTCAGGCAAGAAATGGGACTTGCAAAGTTGGAGAGCGTCTTCAGAAAACCCCATTGCAAAATTTGCAATGAAGAAAGTCTTACACATACCCTTTTTTTCCAAGCTGCAAAGAAAGGCCACGAAACACAAAAGCGACCATTGGACAGCTGCATTTGAACGCCGTGAACATGCTGCTTTCAGCCTAGGTATGAAAGAACAAAATCAACTGCAACCGCAAATCGTATCCCTTGCAATGATAGGCCATTAAGTGGGTTGTGGTTTCTTGGCCCGTTGCCAATCATTTGACGCGCATGACCGTGCGAGTGGCAGCCAACCATAGCGAACTTATCGGCCTACCGCTGAAACAAATCCAGGGAGTCGCAGCCGCAGCTTATTTCATTCGTTAAACCACCGATGAGAGCAGCACATTCACAACACGCTAGTCACATGGTGTTTTTTTTTTTCACTGGCTTTTTTTTTTGCAGCTTGGAAAAAAAAACATTATACGTGAAACTTTTTTTTATCATAAATTATATAATGTGGGTTTTTGAAGACGCTCTCAAACTTTGAAAAGTCTCATTTATTGTCTAAGGTCAATATTCAACGAGTTAGTTAAGTCATGCTAATTAGGAATTCGTTATACACAAAACAAAAAATTGTCTGTAGTGTGCAAGGTGGTTGTCAGCAATATGCAACTGCTTCTAACCACCTGCGTCTAATATTGTATTTTTGAATCCTTGGCTGAAGATAGCTGGGACACATTCTCATGACCAAGACAGATGCTGGGGCTTGGGCGTGGGCAGTTAAGCGAGGTGGAGGAAAAAGAGGTTCAGATTAGAAGAGTCGGCCCGAAGCAAGGGTGCAGTCACTGTCTCGTTTATTCCTCACACTTCATCATCAAAAGACTATGTCTACTTAGGGCAGGTAATAACTGCAGAGCCGAACCACGAGATTGAAGTAACTAGAATAAGAATGCGGTGCAGCACATTCAGCAAGCACTCTCAAACTATGACAGGTAGATTGCCACTATCCCTCAAGAGGAAGGTATATAACAGCTGTATCTTGCCGGTACTTAGCTACGGAGCAGAAGCCCGGAGACTTACAAAGAGGATTCAGCTTAAATTGAGGACGACGCAGTGAGCAATGGAAAGAAAAATGGTCGGTGTAACCTTAAGAGACAAGAAGAGAGCAGAGTGGATTAGGGAACAAGCTAGAATTAAGGATATCATAGTTAAAATAAAGAAGAGGAAATGGACATGGGCCGGGCATGTAGCGCGTAGACAGGATAACCGCTGGTCATTAAGGGTAACTAACTGGATTCCCAGAGAAGGCAAGCGAGTTAAGGGGGACAGAAGGTTAGGTGGGCAGATGAGATTAAGAAGTTTGCAGGTGTAAATTGGCAACAGCAAGCACAAGACCGGGTTAACTGGCGGGACATGGGAGAGGCCTTTGTCCTGCAGTGGACGTAGTCGGGCTGATGATATATATATATATATATATATATATATATAATGGCACTGTCTTAATGACAGATTGCGAGAGTACCATTCGGGCAGTTGACATGCAGGCAGCGACCATTGCTGAAGGTATGGTTGGACTCCTGAATTCGCCACTACATGCGTGCTTAGAAAAGGCAAGCATCAAGCAATGCGAGAAATTATAGAAGCGTTTGCTATAGGCTAGAATGAAAGAAAAATGTGTCAGTGTTGCGTCAGTTGCCTTATCCAGTAAAGTGATTGAAAATAAATCGTGCGCATGCAGGGTGGTAACACATGACGATACAGACATAAGAAAGCACCTCATCAGTTTGACTGTGTGCATGCGCTCATGTCCGATGCTTTTTGGCTATTTCCATAAAAAAAATCAGCCCTTTTTATGTGTTCCTTCTGTGTCACAGCCTTTTTCATTTTTTGAACTTAAAGTATGAATGCAAGTACCTTAGCCTGGTCCTACCGTTTCCACATAGCGCTGCTGGGTGGCTAGTTGCGTTTACGGTAACTATTATGTTACTACAAACGAATCTCATAAATTTGAACACGTTTAATCCGAACTTCCGGTTAATTCGAACTCACCATGAGGTCCCGTCAAAGCTATGTGTATTCCAATGGGCGAAAACGCCCGGTAATTCGAACGCGCAAGCACTTGCGACAGTTAATTCGAACATACCACGCTCCGAAAATGCTCTCAGCACCCCACCCAATTTCGTGGCAGCACCTGCGACACCTCAACGCTGCACACGAAGGAATTGAAAAGGAAAGAAAAGGCTGCGGTGGAGTGTTTGCTCTCTCTCAAATGCCGATCTGCGATGCGCCCGTGTCACTCTTCTCCCTTTTCCGTCTCTTCCACACAAAGTCCTTTCTTCTTCCAACGCCGCACGCGAACAGAGAGAGGAAAAAAAAGAAAGCTGTTGCTGGGTTGAATGAATATGTGATTGAAGGAAAGGGGAAAGGCACTATCTTCTACAGCCCTTGCCCCTTGTGGGAGCACGGCTCTGCGCCATGAGGGAGGGGGGGGTCATTCAAGCGCCGGTGCCATGCTTCCCCCTTTCCTGTTCCTGCCATGTAACCCTTCTCTTTTCAATGACGTGCGCAAAGAGAGAGGAAAAAAAAAAAACACTGCCATGGAGCATTGGTTTGCTTTGATCTGCTTCTCTCCACGTGGAGACGCTCCTACTTTCTAGTCACGTGCTGGCCATTGTTATGCCAGCGAGTCCTCGTCAAACGTCCGTGCCTCTGAAACAGGCAATCTGGGTCAAGGCCAGCCCGCAGTCTGCCTGGCGCGATCACCTCGACGGCGTGAACACGCGCGGCGCTCCTCTGGCCCACGTGCAGTGAGTCAGTTGCGCACGTGACAGCGAGCCGGCGTCCTCATGTCTGGTGGTCTGACGCATCGCGCGGCGAACCTCATTGGAGGAGTCTGCTCTGACGACCAGCGGCGCTTCTGATTGGACTTTTTGGTTGGACCCGGTGCAAATAAA